TAGTACAATCACTTTTGCTTCGTAAATCTGTTTCATAAGCAATAGACATTTCTTACCATTTCCTTGATATAAGAATAACATAACATCACGCCTTTTATCCCCGAAGGGGTAGTCAGAGGTGCACATTATGGCACTTAATGCCACTGTACAATGTAACACCCATTCTTCACTATTTATGTTATGAGTCCCATGTTACAGGGGATAAGCCGATTGCCATATACCGGGCACAATTCCAGACTTCGTGCTACTACTGAGAATTTTTAAAAACCTAGTAATACTTTGCCTGACCCGGGAATTGAACCCGAGACCCGCCAGTCGTACTTGCAACCACTCGGCTAACGAGGCAGTCGAACATTTTCATTTCGATTTCCTTAATATAAGAATACTTTTGATATAAATACGATATTATGCGATTCGTCTGATATATTCAAACTTCTTTTCAATATAATACAATTAGACTTTCAACTCTATAATCAAGCTAAATAAAGTTGAAAATGTAACTGAAGTCATTTGACAAGGTGCAGAATTTTGATATTCTAACGCCTTAGGTACAGCGCACACCGATGGAGCGGAGTCACTTTATGGAATTTGATAATTTTATCCATCTAAATAAGATAAGTAGTCATAAAACATCGCACATTTCTGAACCAGCCTTACCTAATCGCTTGCAGCATACATGTATAACACAGAGATATGATTTAAACATTTAATATTATGCTAATACAGTTGCTTATTCAATAACAGGGACAGACGTGTTTGACACGCACTTATTACATTAGGTATCGCGTTAAAGAGCATTTTTTGTGCTTTTAGTAGTAAAAAAAACATAAAGTAATAAATATAATAGATTTCACGCTAAACAATAATTGGTATTAATATTTTTTCGAACCAGATTATGTTGCACCAAATTGCACAGTAAATATTATGCCATATTAAAAATTTTACGTATGCTTACTTAAAAGATATTATACGTATTTTTGTTGATATAATATAACTAATACGAATATAAAAAGTTTGAAAGTGTTTTTTGTTTTTTTTTACCATTTATGGTAGGTATGATTTGTATCTTGAAACTCCTAGGCTCTTCTAGGTACTTTTGAAGTGATATCGATCGTATTCTCGCCCGTCATTGGTCAAAATTATTCTCAAAACCAATGACATGGCGGACTACGATTGAGTTCACTTTTATCTTTCGAATTTAAAGTTAGAGCATAGCTAGTTGTTAGAAAATTGGACAGTGATATAGATCACTGTTTTCCATTCACCATATGGGAGAAACTGCGGGTAAAAGCTTGTTATGCATGCTATTGAAGTGTGTTAAATATATTAAAATGCCCTTTAAAGCAACAGTACATTTGACACAGGGACAACTACAATACAAAGAAACATTTTCACAATAATATTGCAATAATATAACATTTATAAACGAATTTTGTGCTAACACAGTACATGGAATGTTCAAATATAATACTTATGTTCATAAAAATATGATTGCAAATAGATAAAGCAAAATTTCCCGCGAAAATATGTAATATTTGGATTTAAATTAGGAATTCTACACAAAGGAGGTTACAACAATAAATTATTATGTTCATAGTATTTTAGGTATAATGAGGACTATCGCACATGAATTTACCGATAAGGGCGCTAGTAAGACTTAGGGTCGGTGTTCCAATAGGGAATATTTTTTCATAGTTACTGTGATTGGATAAACAAGACCAAATGCTTCATCAGCGCCATCTAGCGACCTCAAAAAACGATAGTCTCCATAATAACATCATTTAAATTTTTTTATGTGCTTATTCAAAGCACTTTTATATCTCATGAAACAGTCTATGCATAATATGTCTTTATTACATTTAAATATACATATATAGTTCTCATACAATATCAATAGATAGTCGAGAAATATAACGAAAAATAAATAGTCAGATTTCATATAGGTACTACAGTTCAATATTAACTAAAAAAATATTCGATTTCTGTCAGATTTTTCAATAGGAAAAATAATTCAAAACTTTTATTATGAAGACAAAATTATGCTAATTAAAAAAAACACCAAAAAATAATTGTAAAGCAAGTACTTTAGAGCTATGTTGACACGGAATGCATATAGTATATAGATCTTAGGAATCATTTATTTTTTTTAATTTGTGACATTGTATGGAATTGTATGAAAATCATACAATTTCGATTTGGAACTAGCAATTCTTATTTGTATCTTTCAATCTCTCTCTTTTATTACGCAGACTAATTCGTTCCTTTTCTACTTCTGTCCATCGTTTTTCTATACCGTAGTTAAGTGATACGTTTCTTGATAGGTTTAACATTTTCATGCCAAAGGAATTGAAGCTTTATGTAAATTAACTTACATTCCAAATCTTATAACTCGTTTTGTTTTGTAGTTATACATATACAGGCCGTGTCAAAGAGGTTTATAATCAGTTCCACAGTCTCTAGACAGCCATTAACCAACAGATAAATAAAAAAAATTAACTTCATATATTTTTTATATGCCTGTCAGTTAAATGTACAGAGACGTACGCGTTCATCGCTCTGATTGGCCGGCTCCCATGAACCAACCAATCATAGCGCCGAACGCGGTCTCATTACTTAGGGCCCAGGAGATAATTGAAACTAACCTTCGAAACTTAAAATAAGTACAACAAGTCACCAACATAATGTTAACAAGAAGAATTAGTCACAAAAATAATATAAGTCATTCAGAGACTTTTGTAAACGTGAATAAAATAACAAAAGCACCTGAATAAGTTACCTTACAGTAATTATATTTATGATATTTACATTTTTATTACTTGCAGTTGATGTCAATTTGTTTTTGAGCCCAAATAAGATAGACATTTTTAATCTAGACATTTTGGTATATATATATAAACATTTTGATTTGCTAAGTCATTTTAGTAAGTTAAATCTAGTCCATGCTTACGAAAAATCTACGTTTGTTCATACAAAAGTATGCACTGTAAACATTGGAAATAAGGTTGATAATAGAGTGAAGAGGACATCGGTGTCCGCTCCGGGATCAAGAAGTGACTCCTTATGAATCTATCTCGGTTTGAATTGGGAGTCTCGGTTGACGTGATGGAACACGGAACAACTCGTTTGATCCGCAGATTGTTATTCTAGATCTGGGTGTCATGTGTATGTGAACTTGTATGTTTGTAAAGGCACCCACGACACAGGAAATAAACCTATTGTGGGGCAAAATTTCTGAAAAAATCTTTTAAGCTCCGTGTGTGTCTCAACACTCATTATTTAAAACTTGATATATCTAATTGTCCTTTCTTTTTCTTCCGAGATGACATACGTACCCAAACAAGAAGAGAGAAGACATAGCTCCTCCACAAATATCATTATATACTTCTGTAGGTTTCTGAGAGCAGTTATACAGATCAATATCAAACTGACTGAACTGTCTATCTAATCCAGTGCCATCTAACATTTTTATTGATATCAACTGCATGCAATATATCGAAGTCCATTATACGAAGCCATAAGTCAATGTCACACATTCAGACAATTATTATATAATCAAGTATTCATCGTATATTATACTTAAGAATACTGAAGGTCTTACTATTTACAATAAATATATGTTATAATAAAGTGTATAAATAGATAATTTTCATGTCAATCTTGATTTTTCATCATATAGCCATTATAACTTGACCTGCCTGAAGTGTGCTACAAGTATAGCGTTGTTTCTGTCACTTGAATGTGACTAACTTCAGAGAGGTCAATTTACGTTAGTTTAGCATTAGGTATAAATTACAATATCTTGAATTACATACTACTGTCTTTTAATATTGAGTTTCATAGATATGCATTGCAATATTTTATGATAAATAATATGAAATCAGTTGATCATACTAGATTTAAATACATTTGCAAGTGATTCAGAGTAAATAACGGGAAGATCTTTAATCTCGTACTCCGCGAAAACACAAAAACCTTTAATACGTCGTATGACCTATTTTGTAGCCAACAGTCCATTGAAATAGGTTAATTTTTATGTAAAACTTTACATAATTCAGTTTTACTTGAACCAGTTAAGATGAAATAAAATAAAATGAATGCGAAAAATTTCTTAAAATATTAGTTATTACGATAAGTTCCAAATCTTTCATATTGATTTTGACTAGATGTATTTTATTTTTTAAATGGTACATTTAAATATTATATAGATAGTATATATTTTTCTTAAATAATATATAAGATTAGCTCAGATCTTTAAAATTGATAAGAATATAATTGATATATTATTATGCTATCTAATTATGACAAAAAAAAAACAATTTTTGTTACTTTTTTCTATTCTATCTACCCCTTCCAGTCGTAATCAGATGAATTTCGGAATATTTCAGATCATTTGTAAAAACTCAATTAAAATGCCTAAAATAACTTAAAATTATAATAAAAAAATAAGTCTTTAAAATGGAATGTTTAGTTTTCGTTCAGATCTATAATTTTAAATAGTGTTTATCATTTGTTGGACATTAATAATCGTTTTCTGGTTTTGTCAAAACTTTAAGACTTGTATCAAAAACATAACCTTTCTTTTGAAAGCAGTTGGGTAAAAATCAATTATATTATACTGGAAAGGGCGCAACACTAATAGTAGTGTTGTAACATAAAATAAGAAAATTCTTATTATTTTTAAGACTAAAAATAGCTGCTCGGAAGTTTTAGTTATTTCATAAATTTCGTTATTTAAATACTTCATTATCATAACTCACACATAACACCAGTGTGTTCAATTAAACTTTAAATCGTCTAAAATTTATTTTTTATGACGACAATTAATAATTCACATCGTCACTACAATGTGCGTCTGGAAAAGATCATCACAAACAGAACAAAAAACACCTTAATACATACGAAATAAGGTTTACATTAAGACTGAAATTCTAATCTCATTATCCATTACCATTTGTCAATCTCACCTTCATCTCATTTTTGTGGAAAGTTCTCGATGATATTTAGACGTCGATAGCTGGTATGTTGACGAGATTTTCACGAGCACGGTTCCAGTAGTAGTGGGGAGGGCCGGCAGAAAAGCAGTACTTTTGTTTCAGTGGACTGTCATTTTCCACCCAGTACATGAGGTATAAGTTGCACATCTCATCTTTGTTTGTGGCTCTGTAATAAATAAGAGCTAAATTGAAAAGGATCATCTATACATATTATAATAAAATCGTACGAAAGTGAAAAATGTACATTGAATATTTTTTAAAGAAGAATTGGTGCGTGATCTACAATTGATACCGAAGCGAAAAATATGGTTTTTAGAATTTTTGTCTCTTTGTCTGTATTTATGTTCGCACTAAACTCTAAAAGTACTACATGGATTTGTGGCGACACATGTTACATGTCAACGGATGACGTCACAAAAATCCTACATCGCACATGCAAAGTTTACATGCAAATTAACACGGATAGAAAATCCCAACGAACAACTGTTGAGCAGAAAGCCCGCATTATCTATTTAAAGGTCTATTTCTACTTACCCAATCTTCACAGCGTAATCATGTGTATTGTTCATAATGCACCTAGCGGCCAGTACATCATCTCGTTCGATGGGCCGTGTACTGGCAACGGGATAGAACATCTGTGGTAGCTGTGGGTCCTTACGACCAAGTAACGTCCATACGTCTCCAACCTCATCCTGTCGGACCACGTAGCCAGTTACTTGTACGCCTAGAAAATAAAAATATTTATTTGTAAACATAGGTACAATAAGATGTTACATTTCTTGGTATCATATTGTCCATCTATGTTTTGTATTATATTACATACAAGTTTAGTTAAAACTTAAGAGTTTTAGTAATGATTAACGTCAATATTATTAATTGCATTCACATTAAGTAGTAGTAGTTATGAAATAAAAAATTTAGATAATGTCATTGATGAAAATATTAAATAATAATTATGTTAGACGAGACTGCAGGATTGAATAGCCGTGGTTGCGATTATCGCCCGCAAACGTAGCGGTTGATTGTTGCAAGACGTTTAAACAATAAGTTGAGTTCCAGGCAGGCCATTCCATTGTGATCACCCGCCAACAGATCACAGAGCGCGCGGGTGCTAGCCCGTGCAGCGGGATCCGCAAACAATCGCAACCGCCGCGGGCGTAAAACGCCCCGTGACATGTGGTTTGATTTTTTACATAGGCGCAATCAAAGGTCAAAAGTCCACTGCCACCGTGAGTGATGTTCACACGGCAATGCGTAAGTAATTTCATATTAATGTGCATAAAAACGCGTGTGCGGACGCATAAACACACGCACGCGTACGCACACGGATGAAAATATGCGTGTGCATGTGTGTATAAGCGCTGCAGCGCAACCGATAGAAGTCTTACGGTGGCAGTGGACTTTTGACCTTTGACCGTACATATCTGTATTTTACAAAGGCTGCGGTAGGAAATCGGGCCGTGAATCCTTAGCCTAACAAGATATTAGCAAAATAATGTGGTTTAACTTACCAAGAGAATGTGTGTGAGTACGGAACGCGAAAGGATGTATGACCTTGTTCTCAGTGATGGTGCAGGCAGTCTCCATGCGTTCTACTTTGCGCGGTGGGATCACGCCACCTGTGCCCAGTAAGAACACTCCGGCTTGACGGGGCATGCTGGAAATTGAAGATGTTATTTAAAAAGGGAATAAAAGTATTAAAGACATTGTTTGAAACCTGTTGAAAATTGTTAAAAATCATCCCCTAAATTTGTTCTTACAAAAGTAGTCTCTAAAGATTGGAAATAAGGTCTATAATGTAGTTAGTGTGGAACTTTTGTCCTACAAGTCGCGCGCATATATCTACGGAGCCGCGGAAGGCCTAACGGTTCAGGGCAGAAGTAAGAACGGGGTGGTATTTAGTAAGTAAGTGTCTGACACTCCCTCTCGCCAAACCCAAGGTGGGACAAGTCATTGAATGATTTTTCCCCCTCAAAAAAATCGTCGTTTCCATGTTTTTATGATATGATCCTTTAGGCTCCTTTTTGAGTCATCGTTTTTATCTATCCATTACGAAGGATGAACTGAGCCGCAGCTGCGACGCCGTGCGTCGTCGCAACCCTAGTGGACCGCACCTACAATGCGTTGTTCGGTTGCGACGACGCGACTCTCGCCCTAAGTGCAACTGTTAAACAGAGTACTTAGGATAGGGTTTTCAAGTTTTCGGAAATTTTAATATTAGTGTGAAGCCTTTTTTATTGGGACAAGCCCGCCACAACCTCCAAAAACCGCTGCAACTTCTGTAAGCCGGACCTACAGTAGATACAACCATGAAAACACGGGAACACTGAAGTCCGGCGCGTCCCAGGGACATGAGTAACTGTCTTGGTTCCCGCAACGAAGTGAATCAGAAGATATTATAAGAGGAGAAGAAAAAAACGATAGTTTCTACTTCCCTCGGTGAATTACTGCAGGAGACAGAATGAATTAAGCCTAAAGGCACAAAGAAGAGACTATACAACTGGATGAAGCAACTGACTGTACAGATGGGTAGTCGTAGAATATAACATTGTACATAATGTTATGATTTCTTGAACAATAGTATATGTCAGGAAGACATCTATTATATCTACATACACAAGTATGAACCCGTCCATGAAACTATTGTTGCGTGAGCACTAATTGTTCATTGTTGCTGTTTATGCAAACATAATATACCCCAAACTGACAAAATTGCTACAATCAATTTACAACTTCATCGTAAAGTTTTAGAGTTGATAATCTATTGTGAATAGGTGCAGGTAGAATAGTCTGTTAGAGTCACAAATTACAAAATTCTACAACAGGTTTGCAACGTTATTACAATGTCTTAAGGTAGAAAATGTATTGCAAACAGGTTGATTGGTTAGTTTGTATGTAAACAGTAAATAACAAGAAACTAGCTTGTTTGTTTATGTAGTGTTAATATTCTGGGAAATATTCGGTCTGGTTAAGCATACTTATGCATAGATAGACTTGTTATAGAGTCGATTAACAAAGACATTAAAAAAATATAAACATTTTACCTTTGTTTTGTGTATTTCAGGAAAACTCCAGAGTTGTCGGTTTTGTCCTCTGAAAATAACAGCAAACAATATTAATTTATTAGATATAAGGTTATACAATTCTTTCCTATATATAACGAGTCTATGAATAGGTAACTAGACTAATTGACTGCACGATGTAGCACGATTAAGGGCCCTGGTGGAGCTCGAAACTAGTCGAACACCCTCGAAAATCGTAAGTACTGAGTCACGATATTTTTTTTAAATAAAAACAAAGTATTTACCAGGGAAACGGTGCATGTAATGGACTTGGAGTACTAAGTACTTAATGGGTGAATCCTTGCCGATGAGGAAACCGACGTCCTTTGGCAGGTGCAGGCTTGGTGCATCACGAGCCCACGCGTAAACAACCTGGAATATTAAAATGTCAGAATTAGAACAAAATAAAAGCAGAAAAATAAAACACTTAAAAAAAGTGCAATTTTAGATTTTAATGCTCTAAAGACATTTACGCAGTGAGAATTTTCGTTCAAACATAACAAAACATCACGCCTTTCATCCCCGAAGGGGTAGGCAGAGGTGCATATTATACCTACCACTGTGCAATGTAACACCCAGTTTTCACAATTTATGTTATGAGTCCCATGTAATAGGGGCAGGGCCGGATTTAGGGGTCCAGAGGCCTCGGGGCAAAAAAGGAGTGGAGGCCACCTTGCCCCAAATTATTTTCCAGATTGAGATCGAGGACGCTCGCTTGATTTCGAGGACGCTCGAAAACGATCGAGGACGCTCGATTGATTTCGAGGACGCTCGATAGATTTCGAGGACGCCCGATAGATTTCGAGGACGTTCGAAAACGATCGAGGACTCTCGATAGATTTCGAGGACGCTCGAAAACAATCGAGGACTTTCGATAGATTTCGAGAACGCTCGAAAACAATGGAGGACGCTCGAAAACGATCGAGGACGCTCGATTGATTTCGAGGACGCTCGAAAACAATCGAGGATGCTCGAAAACGGTCGAGGACGCTCGAAAACGATCGAGGACGCTCGAAAACGATCGAGAACTCTCGATAGATTTCGAGGACGCCCGAAAACAATCGAGGACGCTCGATTGATTTCGAGGACGCTCGAAAACGATCGAGGACTCTCGATAGATTTCGAGGACGCCCGATAGATTTCGAGGACGCTCGAAAACGATCGAGGATGCTCGAAAACGATCGAGGACGCTCGAAAACAATCGAGGATGCTCGAAAACGATCGAGGATGCTCGAAAATGATCGAGGACGCCCTATAGATTTCGAGGACATTCGAAAACAGTCGAGGACGCTCGAAAACGATCGAGGACTCTCGATAGATTTCGAGGACGCCCGATAGATTTCGAGGACGCTCGATAGATTTCAAGCACGCCCGATAGATTTCGAGGAAGCTCGAAAACAATCGAGGACGCTCGATTGATTTCGAGGACGCTCGATAGATTTCGAGGACGCCCGATAGATTTCGAGGACGCTCGAAAACAATCGAGGATGCTCGAAAACGATCGAGGACGCCCTATAGATTTCGAGGACGCTCGAAAACAATCGAGGACGATCGAAAACGATCGAGGACGCTCGAAAACGATCGAGAACACTCGATAGATTTCGAGGACGCCCGATAGATTTCGAGGACGTTCGAAAACGATCGAGGACTCTCGATAGATTTCGAGGACGCTCGAAAACAATCGAGGACTTTCGATAGATTTCGAGAACGCTGGAAAACAATGGAGGACGCTCGAAAACGATCGAAGACGCTCGAAAACGATCGAAGACGCCCTATAGATTTCGAGGACGCTCGAAAACGATCGAGGACGCTCGAAAACGATCGAGGACGTTCGAAAACGATTGAGGACGCTCGAAAACGATCGAGAACTCTCGATAGATTTCGAGGACGCTCGAAAACAATCGAGGACGCTCGATTGATTTCGAAGACGCTCGAAAACGATCGAAGACGCCCTATAGATTTCGAGGACGCTCGAAAACGATCGAGGACGCTCGAAAACGATCGAGGACGCTCGAAAACGATTGAGGACGCTCGAAAACGATCGAGAACTCTCGATAGATTTCGAGGACGCTCGATTGATTTCGAGGACGCTCGATAGATTTCGAGGACGCTCGACAGATTTCGAGTTTAAGAATTGAAGAATACCAATTGTTCACATACTGCAATTAATTTTTTTAATGGTCGAGACACGGAATCGAATAGCCAACCTCCGAGGTTGCGGGCAAGTACCATCCCACTGAGCCATTGAGCCATTGGGGTACTCCCTCAAGATGGGTAGTAAATTGGAAGTGCTTATCAGAGCCATTTGATATTTTGATATTTCACTGATTGCCTGATTGGAGTGAACAAATATAGATCAATGATTTCTGTTTCTGTTAATATTTAAAATAATCATGTATGTATATATATAATAATAATCAAATATATAATAATCAAATAATCATGTATGTATTAAGTACTTTACGCTGTAGGTAAAGGTAAAAGCGAAAAAAAAATACCAAAGAAAAGATGTTTACTAGGTTTACTAGTTGAAATTTGAAAGATTTTTTTTTCTGAAGTCTCTATTGTGGAGGACCCCTGCTTGTGGAGGCCCCGGGGCTTTCGCCCCGGTTGCCCCCCCCCCCCCACCTAAATCCGGCCCTGAATAGATGGTGAGCCTATTGCCATATTACCGGGCACAATTCCAGATTCCGTGCTACTACTGAGAATATTTAAAAACCCAATAATAGTTCAAACGAATTATTAAAAGTAATTAAAAACAAACGATTAAAACTAATATAAGTCCTTTAAGACAGCAATTGGCATTATCTAAATTTTGCAAAGAAACTTAAAATTACTCTATGTCTTTCTAGAATCTCATTTTCAAAATATTTCCATAATGCGTAACCGCTCTTAACTTTCCTAAGCCATATTAACATTCGTGTAATAATAAAATACTAGAGAAATGTTTGTTACGCGGAAATTAAATTAGAAGAAGTGTATATTCTATCTTAAGTACTAATATATTAAATGTTTATTCCCTTGGCCTTGGTCTAGCAAGGATCAATATAACATGTTTTCAGGTCAATTAGTCTGTATTAATTAAGTAAATTGTGCATACACTAGTGTTTCAACAAAAAATATCTTTGTTTCAATAGTTCTTATCAAGGACATGCAATTAAAGTTCAATTTAAAACATTTTAAAAATTGTCTCTTTAGTTTTCTTTCATTATTATTCGATACATTATCAGTCTCTTGTATATTTTAATTACTACTAAACTAATCGAACATTTTCCCAATTAACGAAGTAGGATAAATGCACAAATATAATTACATAATGAATTCCCGTGTTGCTTTAGGAAACACAATTTATTATATGTAAAAAAAAAAACAAAGTATAAAACTAACAATGACATTTTAATGTTTGGAAAGGCGTAATCACACGTTACATGTACCTACCTACCGCAGCACTTTGACAACGTGTGACTGCGGTTTTCCAATCATGAAAATTTATCTCTACATAGTGAATATTTTTTCTCGACTGTGCTCGACTAGACTCACGCCACGATTGGGGCTCATAATCACGAGCAGCATTCGCAGCTACTGACATCCCGTAACCAAATAATGCAGTCGAGCACAAATGAATAGTCATCTTGTAAGTTACACAAGTTTATTAAATTCGTGTGTATAATTCAACCATGATCGATTAATCAGTTTTTGAGAAAACTGCGAAAATAATATCTTGTAAAATAGCATTATGTATGATGAATAGGGTGGATGTCTAATTTTTATTTTAATGTCCGTCTGGTAAATTATTTTAAATCATTAGACACGTATGTTCTAATTTCTTACTGAAACGAATACTTTCGACGATATATTGATTTCAAATGTTGCGTGACGTCACTTCTATGCACATTTTATACATAGAAATGACGTTTTAGCCCCCCTCTTAAACTTCGATTCGTTTCATCTACGTATTGTTTTATTATACGACAAAAGAAAAAAATACGTGTCTAATATTTTGTCATTATCTAACTTAGGGACTAATTAGATGTTTAATTTTCATACCCTGTCATCATCCCAATTTATTGGATACATTTTATTTACCTACTTACGTCCAATTTCAATAACCTATCTATCTTCAGTTTGGCTTACTAGAGATAGAATGTTGACACTTTTTGTATGGAGCTTATGTCAAAATTCTATCTCTAGTAAGCAAATCTACAGATAGATAGGTTATTGAAACTGGCTGTTAACTAATTTATGAATTTTACTATCCAACAAACTATGTACTTCATTTATAGTACTTTGTAGAAAAGTAAATAAAAACGAACTATCGCAGCTCTAAGCCGTATAAATTCTGATCGATGCTTAGGTAACGTATTTGATAAAAACGTCATTAAAACATCAAGGTCTTGCACAATATGCGTTGGAAACTATATGCATATACTAAGCAAACGGTAGGTTATTGGAATAAATAGAAAACTTATCGTACCTACTTTAAGTTTTAATTTATTGATATTGTACTTTTGGATTAATACCTACTTAAATTAATTATTATGTATTCTGGCCTAGTTGTTTTTATAGGATAAGCCGGTAAACGAGCAGACGAATCACCTGATAGTAAGCAATTGGCGCCGCCCATGGATACTTGAAACACCAGAGGCGTTACAAGTACATTGCCGGCCTTATGGGGATTGTAAAATTCAGGGATTGGGGAGATTGGAGAAGAGGGGGGGGGGGGCGCAAGCGTTGTGTTACGTTGATTTTCTGTGAGGCCGTGGTATCATTCCAGTCAGACATAAAAATAGAAATACAGTGCAAACGGTATATTGTTATCACTTGATAACTACTACTATTATTTTCCCGGAACCAACGTCAATTAACGAGCAATTTTTAAGACTCTAATAAGCATATAATTTACGTACTAAATTCATAATAATTAAAAGTTCATAAGACACTTTGCACTAAGCTTGTTTTCTTTTTTATTTCTTGTTAATATTTTCTAACACAAGTATTTTATTAATTGGTAACGTATGTCGTATAAAAGACAATTTAGTTACCATTAAAATGAGAATATATTTTTGTAAAAGGAATATTCGAATTTTGAAGTCGTTGAGGTTTCGATAAAATGAAAAAAAAAAACCGCTAGCGACTCCGTTTGTATGCCCCCAAGTGTACTCAATTGCATGATAACAAAATATAATTATTTATCTACAATACAAATGTGACGTGACCTATGGCATGAGCCGCGGTAAATCCCGATTTCAGAGAATAATATTATTATACTAAGGAAGTTATTTGAACTTGAGGTTGAGTAATAATGACTTCTTATTCGAGCAACACTTTGTAATAAACCTAACATCTCACTCTTGATTCTTAGACAGATCAGGGTGCTTTCTCTTGAAACCAATCTCAAAGTCAATGCAATTTCAATCCTATAAAATCTCAATAATTATCCAATTTTAAAACTATACAATCCCTATCGTAGCTGTTAAAATAGCATTCAGAGTACGGAATCTAAAGCCGAACTTAATACCATTTAGTTGATTCAATATCCACGCAATACGGATTTTTAAAAAAAAAGAAAAAAATGGGCGCTAGTGTTGCAACTCAAGAGTACGAAAGTTCACAATACCAATGTCGATCGATCGGAATTGGATTTAAGAGTAAGCTCCTGAACAACTAAGTATATATAATTAACATAAAGAGAGAAGGGGTAGGCAAAGTTGCACGTTACGGCACTTAATGCCACTGTACAATGAAACACCCACTTTTCACTATTCATGTTGTGAGTCCCATGTAATAGGGGGTGGGCTTATTGCCATATACCGGGCACGATTCCAGACTCCGTGTTACTATAGAGAATTTTCGTTAAATTAAAGGAAATCACGGGTTACTGACATCGCCACGACCGCGCATGCTGCTCATGAGTCTCGCCCCTCTGTGGTTCGAAACTAGTAGAGCTTTTCTTAGTATTTGATTTATATTCACGTGAGTAACTTGCAATTTTTAGTTAATTTAGGTTTACCGTGGTAGTATTTAACATGGGAAATCCACGCTTTGGCACAAATGGGCCAGTTCTGTTTGATACCACGGTCGCATAGGAAACCAGTGTGAAGCAAAGCTTGCGTTGTGTTTTGTCGTGTGAAAAAATGTGTAGTTGTCAAGGAATCCGGAGGCGAACTTGAATAATTTTCACTGTAATAAAACGCGTGAAGCTGCGGGTAAAAGTTAGTTACCTTAAGATAAGCCTATATATGTACTTACTTGAGATCCGGAACGGCATGGACTAGCAGTATTGTACAACGCATCGATATCGTTTGTCTGCATCTCACCACAGTTCCTAAAAACAAAAGGGAAGATAAGACATAACATAACATCACGCCTTTTTATCCCCGAAGGGATGCAGAGATGCACATTACGAAAAATGAGACGTTAAAATGAAAATGGCAAAGAATTGCTCAAATCGCAAGAAGAATATAGTTCTTTCGATTTTATCTTAGTGCTTTCGATTTCACGCGTAAGTAGCTTAATAGAATATAGAATAAAGTCAATTTTGATGAAATTCATAAAAATCAGCATTAAATTTCTTCAGGATATTTCAGTCGCCCATGCAAAGTCGGAAGCCATATTTCATATGCGATGTCGCTAGCCATTAGCGCAATGAAACAAGAAACATAACTAGCTGAATCTAAAAAACATCAATAGCTAGATATTATACCAAGTTTACGGCTTGTCCATAAAATGACTGTTATCACCGACCATTCATCGATTTTCGTGACACTTGGCCGAGTATTATTCAGTATATGACGTCATCGTACGCCAAACATATCCTAAGGCTTACTACGCAAATCCGTAGCTTGTCGATTTTGCGTTAACACCCACTAGTGATGTAATGGGGTACGTGCGAAACATTGATAACGACAAAGCGAGAAACTTTTGCACCGAAAAACGACAAAAATGTAAGGATTTTTTTACATTCTAATTCGTTTTTTTACCTCGTAAGTGAGTGGGTGGGTAGTTAAATAAACACAATCGTGCAGTCATATACTTTACATATTCATATATAACACTAAATCTTATGATTTAGAATGAAATAAAACTAATATGTTGCTTTTTAAATTAAGAAATGACATTTAATGTTTTATTCTTCCATAAATTCTTTAACACAAAATTCTTATATTATAGACGTTTAAAAAACACCAAAGACTATTTGACAATAGTAAATCAATTCAAAAATTAAGAAAACCTTTTTCTTTACACATACTTTAGAATGCTCTTATTGTAGGTAAGCCTATTCCCTATGTTAGTTCGACTCCTAAGGAAAACTGTAAGATGGGATCACATGAAACAACTTACCAAACAGACTCATTCGATCCTGGCTCTGAGCATCCATACAGCAGCATATGATGAGCAGTGTGCATCGTCGCATTCGGTTCAAATCCCACTGAAAATATAATTTAGTTTAAATGGTCTGTTTCTACGTTCAGAACACAATATACGTAAAGGTGCTCATTAAATATATTGTATTGTAACCACTGGCGTAACTAAAGGGTGGCAAGTCAGCAAAATGCCACGGCCCCCCAGCCGGAAGGAGCTCATGCTCCTGTAAGGTTTTCATCTGAACTTTTTGCTCTCTTTTTTATAGGAAAGAGTTTCCATTCGATGAATTTGCTACGGGCCTCGAACAGTACTGTTACGCCACTGATTGTAACGTAGACTATTTCTGAACTATAATCTTCATTATTGTCCAAAAGCCTATAACAGTCCAATGCAGAACAAAGAACGTTCCAGCCTTCGCTACATAAGAGGAGATTGCCATAATTTCTTGGTAAGCGGTTGAGAAATCGTCATCACACGGCAAATTGTAATTTAAACCAACCTAATTAGAGCTAAGTATCCAGTACTGCTCTCTCTTTCACGCATACACATTTCCAACGCCCTTCGTCTACAAATGTATAAAGAAAACTAAAGAAAAATCTTCCGTGCTATTTTTAGATCGCAAACCAAGTTCGATACCGAGGGAGTTTCATACATAAACATGATATTAGATGACAACCTCGTAAATAGCGAAGCGGAGGAGCGAAGGAAATTCTTTTGTTACTTAGTGGCTGATAAAATCATGAACAAATCAGTAGGTTCGTTCAGTTATAACAAATGTAACGCTGTTGTCGATAGGTCTACTGTCCACGTAAGCGCGTGGCATTCGCACGCTTTCGTCAATTGACGTTTGCATGCGATTACAAGACGAATGCTTGCATCTTGCAAAATTGAAAACCTTTGGCATTCTTGTCATTCATATCGTATCGGACTAAGCAATAACAAACCTAGGTAATAGTTGCTGTGTGGCGAGATCCTGATGGGCGTGCATAGGTACAGTTCATCCTGGAACAAACACAAACAGATTTTGAGAATACTTGTACACAAATTAAATGTTTATGGCTGTATAACTCAGCCAGATCATTGTTACACAATTAGATTTTAAGACAAACGAAGAACTTTAAGATGCAAAAAGATGGTTTAATATAGCAGTAACCAATAATATTTTTTATCACAAACCTCTATAAGAAAAACATGGACAACCCTAATAAATAGCTATCATGATACGTTCACCATAAATGCAATCTTATGTTTATCGCACTAGCGTGCTAATTAGGTCAGTCATGAGTGGCTACTTTGTTTCATCATATTTATCACTATTCATCTTCAAATGAATGAGTTTACCTAAACCTAGTTTAGATAATACGGTAATGTTTGTTTATTAAATTGCTTTGGAAAAATATTACGAAATCTAAGTGGGATTATTTATTTTCAGCAGTAGATTGTCACTTGTTATTGAATAATATTACAATTCTGAAATAACAATTGAGTTTGACCTACATAGACATTATGGAGTAATACCTATGTGCATACCTATATACTGTTCGTACATTTCATCAGTAATGCTGTACACTTGTAAAGGTTGTTGTAAAGGTTGTAAAGGAGTCTGTTGTCTTTTCTGTCTTGTCTGTTGTTTTTTCAATGGACGCATAATTCTTCGCCAAAATATGCCTCACACTCAGCAATCGCGTTTACTACCAATATAATACTAAACTAATCCTAATAAGACGCTGTATCACAGAACCTAGAGGTCTTTTAGAAGCTCTTTTCAAACTTCGTCTTCAAGTCAAGTTTGCTCTTTACGATAAAACAGCTATGGTTTTGGTAATCGAGTCTTCAATTTAATGTTATCATGTGGAAACGGCGTTTCCAAACTTAATTTGTCATTCTAAACAGTTTTGATTGCCCGCATAGAGTTTGACATGCGGGCATTTTTTGCTAAACTGAATAATATCTCAACCAAACCACGTATTCAGATGATAGATAACGATTTGCAGGAACCATTTACGACACTACTATAGGTATCTACCAGTAACTGTTTGGAAACACCAATCAGCAATGTGGAATCTGGAATTGAGTTGAACAATTTTTAACGCTACTAACTATCGATGGCTAGATAGCTTACTGCCCACTTGATAAGAAGTGATTACCAGGAGCTTAACTACAGGATGGCAAATCAGCAAAATGCCACGGGCAGTGGATCGCAGAGTGCATCCCAGTTGGATGGGGGTTTTCTTCTGAGCATCTCTCTTTTTTGGAGGCAACGGGGGGCCCACCCGATGAAATTTGCTACGGGCCCTGAGTAGTAGCATAGTTACGCCACTGGTGGTTGTTTTTTTTAAGGGGGGAAATCATCGAATGTCTGCTCTCGCCTGGGTGAGGCGGGAGGGAGTGTCACTCTTACTGACTTAAAACCACCCCGTTCCTACTCCTGCACTTCGAGCCGGATCCCCGGCAACCCGTTAGGTTCTCCGCGGCTCTGTATTGGCATCAGCCCTATTGAGCCCCATCCGTGGTAGTCTGATAGATCTTTGAGGTGCGCGCGAAACGCGAACCCTCGGGTCTGGTTCTGGTCGAACGGGGAGCCACCCATGCTCGCCGTCCGCAGGCCCGCGCTTTTGGTGGCCGGAGATCGTCTCACGGTCCCCGACGCCCGGAGTGTCCTTAGTGATGGCTGGGTTGTAAGGAGGCAGCGCTTCGCTGCCTCACGCGTCCCGCCTCCTCCTTAGCTAGCATGACTGATTCGCAAAAGGAGGAGACAGCATCCCAGTCCCCCTCGCTCCGCATCATGACCCGACGCCACTGGTGGTGAGCGTACATGTTGCTAGTGTACCTACTTTACACTAGCAACACTAGAGGCATCACACAAGTTACAACAATAGCTGTTTTGACGATCATGTACGAACCGTAGAATATTCTTTTGGCTGAAAGAGTAATGATAAAATCGAATTAAACATTTTATCAAAACAATTGAAGTCATACAATATGTAGTAGGTATAATAAACCAGATTAGCTCTCAACCACTCGACACTCAATTGAAGGACTAAGAAAAGACGAATAATATGACAAAGATTTAATTGAATAGGACAAAGATCAGAACTTGTTAAAAATGGCAACGTAGAATTTAAATATAAAAATAATTTAATGGAAATCGTAGTAAACAAGGCTGTTGCTATAAATAGACCGACAGACGGAGTTCCCAGCTCCAATCAATTTTCAATCAACTGCCTGCGAGACAATATTGATCTTGATTGATTACAAGCTAGCGAATATACAAAGGAATTTCATTCATCGGTATCGAATATCGAGCGAAGGACGATTTTAGCGTGGGTTTAATTTGCGAAGTTTTATTATAAGACCCTGAAATGTGATATTTTCTTTTGTGTCGTTTTCGAAGTAGGTACTTACTTTTCAAATCCATAATTATACATGCGGATAGTATTAACAAAAAAACTCCTAAACTTTGATTCGTTTTATTATACGACAAAATAAAAAATACGTGTCTAATATTTTTTCATTACCTAACTTACGGGCTAATTAGATTTTTAATTTTCATACCGTGTCATCATCCCAATGTAATATAAAATGGAATGGACGATATTGTTGCAGTTTGGCGGCCATATTTAATATAGGTAGTACCTACATTACGTAGGCGGAGCACTTAACAACATTGCACGTAAATATTAACCTTTGCTTATCCATAAATGAGGTTTAATGATAAAACTGGAGTGGATATCCATAACTAATAATCCTTATCAGGTTTTTATATGAAAGTGATATGAAAGTGGCAAATTGAAGTCTCATTATAAAAGCTTAGAAAGCTGCATGCATTTATTTTCCCTAGAAACTAAGTAACTACTTTTTTTGAGGCGGGAAAATCACCAATGACTTCTCCCGCCCGGGAGGCGAGAGGGAGTGTCAGACTCTTACTGACTAAAAACCGTTTAAAACCACCCTGTTCCTACTCCTGCACTTCGAGCCTGAGCCCCAGCAACCCTTTAAGTACTCCGCGGAGTAATTAACTACTTAGGACTCATTTTTCAAAATGCTGATGTAAAATGGGTGTCACTTTTATGTGTTTGTACACTTCTATTGGGTTCTGGCTACTATTCGAAGATTAAAATGGTATGACGTTATGTTCGTGTGAATGTAGTTCACATCAACATCAATATTTTTATAACTAACTAGCTTCTGCCCGCGACTTCGTACGCGCAATTCCGTTTTTTCCCGTTCCTGTAGGATTTGCAGGATTTTTTTCTGTCATAAGAACCTTCTCCTGATAATAACAAACACAACAACAAAAAAAAGGTTAAAGTACTACCAAATACCTCTAATTAGAGTGAATTTACCTAGTAAATATAAAGTTATGGTAAAGAAGACAGGTTTGTTTGGTTGCATTTAAAAGACAGTAAGACAAACTGATTCAAAGAACCTTTAACACTAGGAAATTCTCCTCTATATTTTCTAACGGGATTGAAACCTTGTCAAAATAAATCAAAACTGTACACAAGTCACAGGCAGAAAGTTATTTACCTAAATAACAAATTATTGAGAGTCTAGCTCTGGAAAGAAAAAATGTGCTATATTTGCAGCACACTGAAGTTTAAAATTAAGCAGTAAGAGTTTCAACAAGAATAACAGTTTTTCTCAGTTTATTCACATGAGTAGGTAACCTGCGATTTTTGGTTAATTTAGCATGTCTCACGATAGTTATTATAAAAACAAGAATAACATTAATATGACCTTTATAAAAGACTAGGATGGTTACAGAATGAACAGTAACAAATTGATGATAAAACCAAAGAACTGGTTAATATGGGTGTATGGGTGCCGGAATCATTACTTTCTTGGTTCCGTTTTGGGACACACATTAAATTATGTATATTACAGTAAATTATGTAATATTATTTATAGATAACGGCGACAACATTGTCAAAATGGACAGTAATAAAATGTACTTATATGAAGTCTCATAGTCGCTGTTCAAAGAGGAAACATGTTTAAGGAAAAACCTAATTAGATGTTGTCAGTTACAAAAACAATATTTGTCTGCTAAATTTCAATAATATCTATGTATGTATGTTCTATATTACAATAATATTATAGAACTACAACACATGATTTATAATAAGTATTGGGATGGTGAATGTGCATTTTTACCATTTTTATGGGAATGATATGCATTTTTGTAATGCTCACTTCAAAATGATAGTGAAAGTTACACAAAATGTGTTTGAAAGATTACGTTTCCTTTCACTTTACATTAGCTATTACAAGACTGTTGTTTGCAAATGAAACAAATTTTTTATTGCTTTAAACAAGCTGTTAATCTACTGCATGATGAAAAAAAGAAGACTACTTAGGTATATTGATCACACTCCAAACACAAAAATCATATTGTTAAATTTCCCAGTTGCAACAAAACAGAAATTTAACCCTTTGAGTACTGTTATTATAGACACAATTAAAGAACAATAGGTTGCGGTCGTCGGTGTCCTCGTTGTGTTTGACAGTTTAAATAAAGTAATAAGTACATTTTGCTTTATAATATTTAAGGATTAAATACATAAAATAAATTCTAGATGAATTTGGGATGAGCAGACACCTATTTCCCGAGGGATGTTTCGTAACAGGCATTGCAACATGGGGGCTCTGGAGCAGGTCTCTTGTAGAGGACCCGGTGCCTCCATATAGGTGCTGAGGGTAGCCAAAGAGATGGTTTTATTGAGGTAATAAAGAATCACACACTCCCTAGTCTTTAATCCCCAAAAAGCATGACACCTTTTTTAGTTTTCCCATTTGTTATCAAAAAAAATAACAGATTTGTGCAGTTTAGGTTTCTATAGACTTCATCTTAAATTTTATGCTTAGGATTTCCCTATAGTAATATTGTCGTTTGACAAGATTAAGCGAGTCATATATAACCAGGAATTTGGGGATTTCCACCTTTCATGTTTTGTATTTGACCATATTAAAACCACAAAATAAGCTAATGTTTTAGCAGGTGCATATTAGGTAAAAAAGAATGATTCTAACTCACTCTACCATGCAGCTGCACTTAGGTATTATTTTTAAAACAAAAACTCTTTAAGAGAAATGATATGAAATAGTTATGACAATTCAGGTAAATAAATAATTTTAAGTAATTATAGACATAAGATTGGATTAATTAAATATTGAGCTTGAACTTACCTTGTGTGGCCAAACGTTGGGCATCAGAAAATCATAAGTATCAATTTCAATAGCTGATGCAAATAAAATGCAGCTAAACGTGGCAAAAGCTACAAAAACTATTTTATCCATATTTTCAAATTTGGAATTGATATTTTTTTAAAACACTGGCGCACTACTGCACAACTTAACTCTAAAAAAATTATGGAGAACTTGTACGACGTTTATCACACAACAAAATAAAACTGGTTGTTTTATTATTTAACGTTTGATATACTAGCGCGTTGACTCAATAACGATGCATGTTTGAGCCGAGAAGCGACAAGTGTTTGTATAAATAATTTCGCAAATAAAATCGATCAATACCAGAATCAAGTTGATTAACGTCATAGCTGTGTTGCTAGCATTTTAGATTTCACCGATAGACACGGGAGATTATGATGTTTCTTTACAAAAAAATATTGGAAATTACAGCCTGACTTCTAGACTGTAAGTATTTAGAACTAATTTTAAATCAAATATTTAATTAATTGGCTGTTATAAATCGAGTTATCATCCAAATTCTGACGAAACAGGTAACTATATTTCTTTTGACTGGTATTACCAACCTTGTCGTCTTTTTGTTTGACGTACACACATTCGTCTAAAAACCACCATAGAAATAAAATGTATGTTTACGAAATGTACATTAACGGTGTTTAATAATAATATACCTCAGTATCACGGTACAAAATTAATAAACATTTAATCTATTTTTGATACTTTATTTATTTATGTATGATTCCATTTGGAGCCAGCTGCTGCCATCTGTTGGTATTAAAATATACTTTAGTCGGATTAACACTTAGCTGTATCACTAATAGATGGCAGCACTAAAGAATAAAAGTTTTTATAACGTACTCTAATATTTTCCTGAGTAAAAATATTTTAATTTTAATAAACCAAAAGGGAATCAAATTAACAAGGCAAAAGTTAGGTAGGTACAATTTTGAAACCCTGAAAAATCCTACTTAGGTACCTACTTTATTGCTGCAATTTTTCTAATAGGTAGTATTAATTTAAGTTTACGTACATACAACGTTTCTTAATAAGCACTTAATAGGTATTAATATTTAACTTTAGATACTTACCTCCAGCGTTTCTTTAAGCTTAGTTTTATAACAAAAATGACTGAATTTGGTTTGACTTAAAAAAACTAGCTGAAAGTACCGAACTCGAGTCCATTTTGCCTAAACAACCGTTTATACATAGGTATAGGTCCACCTACATCAACAACGTTTAGTATCCAGTTTAATGGAAGTATCGTGTACCTAGTAGTAATAAAGTTAGATATTCCGTCAACTCTGTAAACTACTTGCGACGTTCCCCTCCTTGAGAGCCGTTGCCGTTGCCGTATAGCAATATAAATTGACGGCGCCGACCATCAGACGATGCATGATCTGTCACAATAAATCCAATTTGAGATGATGGATTGGTGAGCATCTGTGGAGGTAAGTACGTCGAGGCATCCTTTAGCCAAGTATTTTGTCTTTATTTGTGTATGTAAGTAAGGTTTAAGAATTTGGTGCCTTTTTTCTAAACGTGAAAGACATGGTAACATTTTTAGCCGATTTATTTGATACATCAAGAACATAAGAGGCATTTAGACAGGGTTTATTTACCTGTGTTATGGTTTTAGTCAGTAAGAGTCTGATGTTATATGCCGTCTTTTCCAGGCGATGCGATCCGCGAGAGTTTTCCATCTTGAGGCAAAAGAAAGAAACGGTTTATATACTTATTATTGGTAAATACCCATTTTATACAGGTCTGATAATTAAGTACCATTAATATCTAATTTTCACCCAATACCTACAATCAATAAATCTTTAACACGGTAAAAAAAGAATATTGAACAAAACAAAACGAAGTTGTAGTCATAAATTTTATCTTATTTCTCAAATAAATATTCCGAGGCGTGATTCGGAAAGAGAATCGCCTATCATTTTATTTGATACATGACGCTCACACGTTTTGTTTGAAGATGGTTTGAAACCTACCTACGTGACGGGGGAACGAGTTGTACCGGTAAGTATAGAAAAACTGAATAAACGGTAAAGATTCTCTCTTAAATATTAGTTTATTCCTCCTTGTACTGTATGACCTTTATAGACATGGGACTCTCTAGTGATTTCTTTTTTTCATCTTTAAGTACTTATTTAATTAAAAGTGTTTATATTTGTAACATTAGATATTATTTTATTAAATACTTTTACCTCGTTTGAATGCTGGGCAAGGGGTCTGGGGTTCGGTTCCCGGGGCTGGGCAAAGTATTACTGGGTCTAAAAAAATCTTATATGGCTTAAAATAAGCCGAGTATATGGCAAAAGGCTCATACCCTATTACATGGGACTCATAACTGAAATAGTAAAAAAGTGGGTTAACACAAACACATTGTACAGTAGCATTAAGTCCCGTAATGTGCAACTTTGCTTACCCCTTCGGGGATAAAAGCCGCGATGTTATGTAAAAAGTTGTTTAGAAATAAAGTCTAAGTTCTGTCACAGAAATTACAAAGAAACTAGAAAGATAAAGAGTGTCACTGACAAACCATTTGTTGCGTGCACACGTATATCAAGCAATGATCGCCCTCAGGGAAATTTTGCCAGAATCAATTCCTAGAACGTTACTAAGATAAGGAAGAAATATAGAATGATATTATTTTACGACGTTCGACATTTTGGGAATACTCACTGAAGGTCAAAGAATATGTAAGTACCTATCTCGTAAAAGGTACCTCCATGATAGTTGAAGATAAATATTTTACACCAGAAAGTAAGGTTTTAGTGTGTGGGAGAGCCATGCTTTGGCACGAATGGGCCGGCTCCACTGTAGTGATACCACGGCCTCACAGAAAACCGACGCGAAACAACTCTTGCGTTATGTTGTATAAGGTTACCGAGGGCCCAATTACCTCTCAGTTTGACCTGTAGGTATGTATGTATGTTTGTTTATGCGCGATTAACACGTTATTGGCCGAACCGATTTTGATGCGGTTTATAAAAAAACTAGTTGTTACACTTGGGAGAAGATTTTTTGGTTTAGTATATTTTTTTATGGCATAAGCCGGTAAACGATCAGACGGATCACCTGATGGTAAGCAACCGGCGTCGCCCAAGGACACCTGAGTTTGAGGATCGTTGGGGATTCAGGGATTGGGGAGATTGGGGAAGGGGAGGGAATTCGGGCCTCCGATAACCTCACTTACACGACGAAACACAACGCAAGCGTTGCTTCACGTCGGTTTTCTGTGAGGCCGTGGTATCACTCCGGTCGAGCCGGCCCATTCGTGCCGAAGCATGGCTCTCCCACACTTAAAATATATTACTTGCCTATACATATAAATTAATCGTCTTCAAAAAAAGAGGGTTTTGAAGTCGAATTTTTTAAACTTAGTTTTTTTGTAAAATAATAATTATAACTACCCGTTGATTTTTTAGTACTTGTCTGAAATGAATTTGCTAATGATTTATTCAACTCATCTCCTCGTGTCTCCTCTGCACCGTACTCTTTGTTCTAAAGCAGTTACCACACAAATCACGTGCGTGTATCGGCAATGTATCAACCGGGTCGTATGTACGACCTTCAACTGATTTACGTCCCTAACCTAACCCGGTTAATGGTGGCCTCAGTGCTCTATTGATATTTTACGATGATCGGTAAGTGATGGGGCTATTTAACGGCTTAAGATTTGCGGAAGCAAAAATTTTTGTAAAAAGATTTATGTGAAATTGATAATACATAGCTTACCTACGAGATCTTATCGTTGATCTCCAAAGATAAGTTAGGGGTAGGGGGGAGTGTCTAAAAATTTTAGGATTTGGAAGACTTAACCTTATAATATCTTCTGATTCATTTCGTTGCGGGAACCAAGACAGTTGCTCATTTCCCTGGGACGCGCCGGACATGTAATTATGACACCCAAAAAGTGCTTACAATTTCAATCGATTGAATGCAAAGATAAACATCGATTCACCTACTTTCTACCTACCTATCGCAAGTCCAGTAAGTATCATACAAACTCGAGCAGTCGACTATAAAACGATGAGTAATATGCTCGTTAACATTTTTCCAGTGCGCTTATAAAGAGTTAACAGCACTATTAATGAACCTTAATACCACTTCCAAGAGTTGCTTATTGAGCATAAAATTCTATTACGGCATTAGGAGCGCCCGCAGACCCACTTGTTAGTGTAGGAAAATGATATAGATAATATAATTATTACTTCCTTATTTTTTATTTTATTTTTTCTTGTGCTTCTATGTTCTTTAAGCTATGTTGTGACTGGATAATGTAAAATATAAATATGCACGTTACATTTTTCTCCGGAATAGAGCTAGGATATCATTTTTTGGAAATCGAGAACTTTTTTAATTTATAAGGCCCGTGGCCTAAAACTAAAAGAGCCTTTTTAAAACAATACCCAATAGGAAATGTAATCTGTGCTGATTAATATTTATAATTGTTTTTTGTTAGCTGTAGTGTTCTATGTTCTATAAATAAATAAATAAATAAATAAACTTTTCAAATCCTTACATAAATCCATAAGCCGTTTTTCTTCTACAATTTCTATTATCTACCAATTTCCTTGTAGCAACTGGTTTCCAAATCGTTTTATAGTCCCCACGCCATAAAACCGACATGAATTTCAACCCCGCTACATACCACTCGTCAAGGAGGGCTGATTTCTAACAAGCTAATGATTGGACATAGAATCGAACATAAAATTTCCGGCTGTTTCCTTTTGGCTTATGAAAATTCGGCTTTTGTTTGGTTCAAGTGATGGGAGATTGTGTATTTAAGGATTTATTTAGGTGTTGTATAGAGTATATTGTGTGATGAACGATTATGTGTGTATATATTATTAGTAACATATTCATGAGCAGCATTTCGAGAACCGCGACGCGGCGAAACTTGTCGAGTTCCTCGTCAAATTATTACATAAGTAAGCCGAAAACATAATAATTTATTTAGTATGTCTCACGAAAGTTACAATACAAAGAAATTATTGCGATTATGATGTTTTGTTCTGTAGGGCGATAGAAAGGTCACAGTTAGGTTTGATTAGGTTATATTTGAAAACAAAATAGATTTT